TCCTACTTTTGCCTTGGGCAAAATAACAAATTTGGGCTAGTTTACTGTTCTTCGAACTCGTGGTTTCAAGAATGCCGGTTTGCTAGTAGGCCACATAGTAATACTTGAATAAAGCCTCATCCGGCTAAATGCATTTCCAAAGGCAACATTCAAACTCGGACCCTTATGTAATTGACACCGATCCACAACTTTTAAAACGAATGCAAAAATGGTGAAAGTATTCTCGCAAACGCTGGACGTGTTACACTACGAATTATCGCGTTTTCAAGCATCGTTTGAGTTTCTACCAGTTGTCAATTTTCTCAAAATCGCAACTCCACTCTCAATGACAATGCTCTTGAACTTAAAATGACCGAGACACATTGTTGAGGCGCCATATCTCACTAACTGCCCAGCAAAGCTCAAGTCGGTGGAAGGACAGAGTCAACCGTTTATTCGAGAACTTGACGAAGGTGTGTGTGTACAGAATAACAAGTGCGTTAATATGGATTCGCTAAGCATCGATCCTTGAGCGAGCAGAATTACATAAAGTGAATTTACTAAAACCGCTTGCATAGTGTTCGCTCAGACTTGCTAACTACGTTCGCTCATGATTGATAACTGTGCTCGCCACATCTTTTGCGCTCTGTGGAATATGGTACAAGCGACTACGGAAGATAACGTGTATTTATACGTAACAACCGCTATATATTCTCTTTAATCCAATCACATAATTACTCTATTCCATCATGTCAAAAATTTACTTACTGCTTCATTAAGGGACTCAAATCCGGTTCTTGTTAAACGGCAATTTAGGAGGCGAGGTCAATGCTATGGGGTGGAGACAGAAAGATAGCATATAAATTACCAGAATTGAGCACCTAGTCTAAAAATTTCTGACCCGCCCGTGTCGTTTGTCTAAATTTCACAAATATGAGAACAGGAAGTCGACTTCCTATTTAGACACATTCCTTCAATTTTTATGTGCATCAGCACTGTTCCATATGTCTGTGATATTCAGAGAGTTCGTGCTTGTTAGAAATGGCTCGTTCCAAACACAAGTCTGGTTGGTTAAAAAGCAAGCGATGCAGTGATGTAAAATAATGCATCATAAACTAATTATATATGAAATATAAATTAATGTAGACAAGGAACGTGTCTCTAGTGGGATAAAGAAAAGTAACATTAGCGTCTGTGTCTTTGTTTTCGTTTTCGACGACGTTGTGTTAGCGCGGTGTGCAGGGGTTGACCGGTAGAATGGGCCCGTGATTGTGGAGGCGCAGTCTTTATAAGAGTTTCTCCACTGCCTTCCTTAAGTTCCAACTCCTGGTCCGTCAGCTGCGGAATCTGCTCATTGCAAGCGCTACTCCATGTTGTAGTTGACGAAGCCAAATCCGTCGCTGAAGCCAACATCGTTGCAAGACGTTCAGTTGCCTTGCGCCTGCGTTTGCTGTTGCGCTGACGTCGTTTTTTACGTGATGTAGAATTTTTTGTCATCTCAGATACCAGGAAATCTGGCGGGAGTGGAGGCTCGTCGACGAAATTAGTCCGCGGCCCTTCTGGGTCGATACCGACTTGCCTGAGAAGTGAATCATATGAGACTGAGGCCTCAGAAGCTGGAATTGAGACGGCATGCCATGAATTGGTGGAGTTGGACCTTTGAGATTGCGGAGAGGACAGAAGTTGCCGTAGGGGAACCGTAAAGGTGGTAATTACGTCTTTAAAGGCGTAAACTGTACCTACGGCCTTAGCTACATTGTTGACGGAGATAACTACTTGTCGACCAAGTTCAAGAAATTCTGGTTGGCGAAGAAAGGCGACGACTATCTCATGAGAGGAATCCAGTTGCAGTATCTGTAAAACAAACAAGAACAAACCTAAAAAGCAAACGACTCAAATTGTTTAGAATTCGTGGTAATCTGCGCATGCTCTTCCCTTGTTAATGCACAGAAAAGCGCTACGCTATAGTTCTTATAAGCAGAGTTGGGCTTGAATGCATCGATTCAGGTGAAGTAGCATCACAACTTCACAACATCAGAAAACTTCTCATTTTACTCATATTGTGATGCTGCAAAACCTTGTTAAAACTTCTGTACTAATCCTTTTATACCATCCAACCAGTGATTAATGTAATGCGACCTTACATTAATGAAAGCTACTGGCACTAAACTCTGCCAACCACACACACAATCAGCAACAATCCCTTGTAATTAAGGTTATTTGCAATGCCACACGACTGCTTATAAAATCGAATTGACATGCCCACTTAACAAATGTAGTCAATAGAACCAGTTATGAATGATGACAGCTACCAGTTGTGGGCTCAACGGTGCACTGATGAGACCTCATAGACCTTAACATTTGGCTTTCTCGGACCAATATAACCCAAAGTGTATATCACATTTCTTGGGGCCGCGTCAAAAGTTGAATTAGCAATGGACATCAAAATCGCAAATAGACCTTGGAAAGTACGGTTGTGTGCCAAAGGCACCTACTGACCTTGGACCAAGGACGAAAGTGTGATGGGCTCCTACACTTGCGGGACAATAATGAAGTCGATTGAATTCATTTTTGACAAAAACATGTCAAAGTCTGGAAACAATGGTATCGTTCGATAACGATAGTAATGCCCATACCACAGAATCCAAATTAGTTCTGGAACGACCGGTTATATAAGTCAGATGATTGGCGGAAATGCTGGTTTCCAGTACCCGCGCATACTGTAAAACGTTCCCAGCATGGATTCCGACTGTGGAATTTGGTTGCAAGACAACGTTGCCACTACTTGAAGACATCCAGATGAGATTTGCTATGCAAATAGACCAACAGACAGCAATTGAAGGGGTCTCGGTGAGAGGGCAGGTTGTTGTTGTGGGCTCTGCATTGACCATGACCATACCCCTGCGAAGAAATGGAAAGTTGGCGTCAAATGAGGGCTCGGGGACAGCGACGAGGGAACCGAGTTGGTCTTTATGGAGGACGTGATGCGGATGACGATTGTGACGAAGTTCTACCACGGTAATTGAATAAAATTTACCCTCCTGAAGAAAATAAAGATAGGCAATGGAACAGTCAGATATAGAAAACTGTAAACTGGCTTGCATGTAGGCAAAAACCGTTGAAAAACCAAATTGGTAATTAGTTGAGACCACCCGTTGTCAAAATCCTTGTTTAAAAATTACCAGATTTGGCCAGCACAAGGCAAAGCTACTGAGTGTACTTGAATAAGGTCGTATCCTTTATAACTCAAAAGAAACGACTTATGATGCCATAAATTCTTGATAACCGATCTTGCAGCCAATTCGCGCCGCCAAAACAAGGAGAGAAATGCATAGAAGGGTAGCAATAAAAGGTACACATAAAACGTAGGAACCGTGGCCTCACACTGATGATCCGGTTCCAATATTATAGGGAACAAAATCTTGCATAAACATGAAAAATCATTTCTCAAAATGTCACTTTAAACAGGTATAATTAAGAGATTATTAAAAATGCTCCACAGAAAAAAAACGTCCATCCGTAAAAGTAGGTGCTGAGTAGTTGGGACAAGTGATTTTTCACTATTAGGGGAAGTGACAAATATATGTACTTTTAATTCGAAAGTACACCGATTCAAGTGCTGCACAAGGTGTGCAAGATACGCCGTCTTTTACCTAATAGTGAGAAAAAACCTATACTGTTGACACTTTTAGTTCAAACGCCCCAAGTGCAGAATTGTGCAACTATGTAAGTCTAGTTTGCCGTCACAGAAGAAACTCAGTGGCACAAGAAACCAAAGGTATTTTAGCGAACGTATCACAGTTTAATCCGCCACCTCTAACTTGCATCTAGCTTTACACCAAGTAGCACATTACCAGCGGTCTTCAGGCTACAAACTCGCGATTCCGTGGTCGCTATTTTGCTCGACCATATTCGCAAATAGCTCTAAAGCATTTAAAAGTACAAATTGCGAATTTCGATTTGTCCGTGACTTGCGCAGAATGCAGACCCATCGCCACTATAATGTATACTAGTAGAGTGACTAGGTTTTTTAAATTCCTGGAGAGGAGGTAGTTAATTAAGATTCGTTGAAAATTCGACTGAAATCCACTTCTACGTACGCAAACCAAGTGTTTCCGTCTACGTGAGGTATGGTTATCAGAGTTTAGACACAAACCTCATCTGGGCCGAGCCACAGTCGTTGGCCCTCATGCACTTCCCCCATCTTGATCAAAACCTCGAGAACAGGATTGTTAACGCCAGGTACATGACCAAACACTTTGGTTATCCAGCACTCAACAAAGGCGGACATTTCCCGCTCGCATAGGGATTCAGAGGATGTCGTCGGTCTCATCGATACGAGAGCACCGTAGTTGGGGTTAGAAGACACGAGAGCGAGGAAGTTTAACAGACTTCCTAACCCATAACCAGAAACGCTAGACACAGCAAAAACTTCAGGGTCCTCTTTGAAGCACCTAAAATATTAGAGTAAAGACAAATGGCGTACTTTCACAAGCAGCACTAATCAACGGACCGCACTTTCCTTTGAAAACTTAGCTGCAGCAGTGCGGGTAAGTGTTACATTGGAGCCGTCGGCAGGCTCAGATACGACCAAATTGACGTAACATTTACTGATGAAAACGGCAGCTCCTCAACATACTGAAAACTTACTCAACAATCTTTAGTCTACCTCCCTCCACAGTATAGTATTTGATGGTCTTGAGTTCCTTTAAGACAGCAGCCTTTATGTCGGCGACGGCTTTGTTCATTTTTCCATTACCACCAGATGCATGAGCTGCAGAAGAGACTGAAATCTTCCTCTGGCGAGCATACTCTATAGCATCTGGAATAAGATCTATCTTGGATACGACTACTGCAAGGGGAAGGTTGAGTGCAACAGCGGTTCGGGCATGTCCGAGACCTTCAGGAGTCAGGCCTGTTGTCGCTGACACCACAAGGATACAGAGGGCTGGATGGAATGTGGTAAGGCCTGAAAGGGTGGTTCGCTGGTACTTGGTGTGACCCGCAAGATCAAGAAAAGTGATTAGTCGATGGGAATCGCGGATGACCTAAAAGGAGTAAAAAAATATGAGTTTTTTGGGTTTGATGAAAACAGTCAACGAGATGCACTGCATCAAACACAAAAACCTGACAGATTATTGCTTCGAAAATCATGACCAACAAAAAACAGATATTTAACAAGTGAGCGCCAAAAATAGCGATGCAGAGATTTTGTGAATTACTTCATTCGAAATATAGATACCGCAAAACATACTATGTAATTCTGGCTTACACCAGTATTTCAATTTCCAGGTACCTGATAAGCGTCACTTAGCTACTGCTCACTGAGAGCGCATCCATTTACGAGAAATCGAGGTGGACGCAAAGACATTAAGATTTGCGTTGAAAGCAAATATAGTTTATGCTTATTAGTTTAGGATAATAGACGCACATTTCCAAAATGTGCCAATGTACACTTCGTGATTGGACAAATTGACTTCAGCAAATTTATCTGCACGAAGGGATCAAAGTTCAGTAAAAAGACACAGATCACAACTAAAGGTCAGATGCAGATAGAGGTCCGAAACCCGCTAAAGAGAAACTACATTAGCTACGAGCGAACCGGCATTCTTGAAACCACGAGTTCGAAGAACAGTAAACTAGCCCAAATTTGTTATTTTGCCCAAGGCAAAAGTAGGACAGGATATAGGAGTAATTAGATGGACACTAATTTAAAATCGCTTGCCGCCTCTGACAGTACTCACGCACATTATAAAAGACTTCCCCAACTGCAGTTTAGTTTGTTTATTTGCGCAGCTTTAAAAACACTGATAAATTTATGCTCAACTTTAACTTGACGTCGAAGAATGCCATGGCGGGAGGACAATTCTTCCAATGGTAACAGTGCATAGGATTGGTTGTAGGTGTACTTTAACTCGTATTCACAGCCGTAGCATATTAACCAAAGAAATATCTAGCGGTCGGGTTGTTCAAAGAGTTTAAAGCAACCTGAACTATGGTCGTTTCAACAATCGAGGTAGAAAAGTGTAACTAGACGAAGCGTTTGCACGGTGGCGCTTTGTTCTCAAAGCAACAGATAAAGACCGCGTGTTATAGCGGGAATGTGCAAATTCTAGGAACGTGGAATAGTATTTCAAGTGTCCCTTTGCCTGCCCCAGTAGTTCATCCAGATTGACCCCAAATCTCGTCCAGATGTAGATCTCACATTAATAACCGGACACTCGGTGACAAGGCCTCTAATTAAAAATTTTGCCCGTATCTCTTAATAAAGCAAGGTTGCACAACTATGCTCAAGTCAGCGTTTTCTACTAGCTGACCTTGCAACAACCTTAGGGAACTCTGCATCAACAAAAGTCCCTCCCACGCAGTCTGACGCAAGGAAAAACCTGACCCTCTCGATAGACCCGTGTAACGTAGGTTTAGGCTACTACAAATTAACTTTGATAAAAGATGTACAAAATCTGCATTTCACGTACACTTTTAATGTGTAAAATGTGAACATTGAATTACCACATCAAGCAGTCGCAAATTGGTGCAATCTTGTCAAATACTTGTTGCATGCACCTGGGTATGACGTTTCACATCGCTAGTCGCCAGTCACGCCCCCAATAAAATTCAGCGCAACTTTTTCGATTGAAGATAACTTAATGCCATTTCGAAGATAGTGTATGAACTCTGTGACCATTCATCGCCGACGAACTAACAACTCCCGACTACTGCCTGTTCGAAGATTCGGCATCCTTTGAGTCAGGTGTGGCCGCACGCAGTTAAAGTGATGCAATTTGTTCAATCGCATTAGCCGTTTTGCGGACGCTTTAACATGTCACTTTTGTGGGGAAATAGGATAGACGCTAAGAGACGAAGATGGTACCGACCTAGGATCTTCAAATACAAAGCAGGATCGACTAAGTGAGGAATTTTTCATGACACTTAGTTACCAGCTCCAATTACACCACAGTATGCGAATTTCGTAAGAAATTATGGTAATAACTAACAGTGCCAAGGGTTCTAAAGTGATTGCCTTGTCCTTTTGCACAACTGCTGTGGCTTTCTAGAGTACGTGATCCGGCACCTGACACAATTAAACGAACAGAAACGGCAGCACAGTGGAACTTCGACATTACTTTTTGATAATATCGTGCAATCATAAAATTACGGAGCAATGGACGAACCCGGAAAACGAACCCACGCATACCATATCTCATATTTGTTTTGTAGGACAAGTAAATTGCAGTATGTGGACTAGGCGACTAACACTAACTGACCGAAGTTCAGCAGAATATAGGCAGCTTAATCTGTGAGAGAATAACCTGGATGCATCCGGATAGACTTCGATCACCCGCAAGTTGTTCTGGGCTCACATGAACCGTAGACAGTCTCAGCAAAAAGTGACGCAAAATGGATCTACGCTGTTTTCGGACGACAACACTTGCGCCCCATTGTTAGGAATCTGCGTGAAATAAATGGCACCGAGTTTCTAATGATACATTTTTTGGTCAGTTCGAGATAGGGTCATCCAGCACAGGTTGCGCTTGAGACATCGTGTCCACCAAAGGGAGATACAGGCAATCGTGTAACTATACTGCAATAAGGTTGCTGGACTGTGAAAAAGAAACTCCAGAAGGAAAATCCACCGTATGCACGGCCACGAATGACCTTATGAGAAAGCAAAAACCTTTGAATGCAATCCCGAAAAATAAAGTATCGACGGTGTGGAAATGTTTCCAGTAAAGCGTTTTAACAAGGTTAAGATCTTACTAATGAAGTCTGGCACTGCAGTTGGCGGTAGTTGAATACGGAGCAAACGAAGCATTTTTCGCACAACATTACGCATTACGACGACTCCATTCCTGGTGAGTCGGGCAAGTTTTACAGTACTAGTCAGACGCCAAGGCGCATATCGCGCCGCGAGTCGTTTTTTATCACATGGGAACAAAGATATCTTTGATGACACATATAACGGGTGCAACATCGGGCAACTGGGCGATTACCGCAGTCTTCACGAAACAGCAAACTTGTGAACATCTAGGAGTGCCAGCAAGGCAACCCAACGCATCACCTCCGACAAGACAAATAATTTCTAAGTTGTGTATTTGGAATCGTGTACGTGGAAAAAAGTTCATTTATAGCGATTAAGAGCACAACTACCGTAGGGGATCATGCTTTATTTACTTATTCACACGACTCTGCTGAAACAAGAAAAGGTCACAGCCAACTGAAACGACTCCTGCAGTCCCATCCACAAAGCATTTGAGGTCGGACACCCGTTATTTAGAAACCGGGTTATGCAATTTACACAACGCGTACAAAACCGAACTCACAAGTTTCGCTGACAACGGCTACCTATCCCGTGATGAGTTGGGAATATCAGATTTTACGAAGAGGTTGAAGCCGCATTCAGTGCACTGATGGCCATCTTGCCTTTGCGGTGCAGGCCGCTTACTGCTGACAGTGATTTGGAAATGACCATCGAAGTAATGATATCATTTATAGTATATCACATAATACCGCGAGGGATTTGGGCAGTATATATCGTTTTTATTCAGGTTGATATTTATCACAACGTACTCGAATGAGATGGTTTTGGAGATTAGCTAGCACATTTTCTTATAATTTCCTGTTTCGCGTTAAGTATAATGCTATAATCCAGTACGTGGTTATGTCAGGCTTAATAGCATTTTTCCACGTTTCGATTACTACAAATCACAAGTAACAATGTTAGATAAAATAACGCAGTAGACGTACCTCGTCGATTGTACGCTTGTTAAGGCGGCCATGAGAGCGCCTCCGGTTAACTAAATGCCCCGAAATGTCGAATCCTATTAGTTCCGAACTGAGGCTACTTGTTCGACCGGACTGGACTTCGTGTAAATGACGAAACAAGTTGAGGCGCGCCCGACCCCTCCCGTCGTCCATTTCACCGTCAGTCAGAATGCCCAATAAAGTCGACTTACCGACATCAACACTTCCTAACATTGCGACACGCATATCTGGAAGCTGTGAAAATGCAAATAGAACAATTAAACAATTGTCGACGGCGAGAAATTATTTTATACTTAGGCGCACCCCTTGGTTCACGGTAGATTTCCATTTTGCATGTAGTTCTACAGCCTTCCGCTGAATATGAATCGACGCCTTCACATCCTCTAGGGGCGAAAGATTCGAGGCGTGGGCACTTTTGGTTGTCGTGCACATCCGAAGAAGTCTGAGATCAACACCCAGCCTTTGCGCCATTCCGTATAACGTGGACAAAGAAGCAGACAGTTCACTTGCTGTTAAACCGGTAACAACTCCCTTATCATCAACACCAAGACGGTAGATTGCTTGCCCTCCCCCCTCATTGAGGCGCCATTTCATTTGAGTCATCAAATGTTCCACACGATCAGGAGTTGGGTTTATCAATTTTAACTACAACATGAGGCAAAATTCGAACCCCAAGTGGGTTAACTTATAACTCTGAAACACAAAATGTGGAATAAAATATTACCTTGTATTCTATGTTGCCTTCCTCAGGCTCAGGAGGAAAGTTAGACGGAAGGTTCAGCGTATCTGGGAAGCTGCCCGATGCATGAATTGGAAAACTTTTTTGAGCAATAAAGGAGGGGTCTGAAAAATTTCTGATAATATTCACATTGTCAACAGCTTGATTGTTTAGCCTAATTTTTGACCTATTTTTCTTGTGATTCAATGCGACAGGTGCATTAACTGCGGAGCTGTCCTCTGAGGCATACGGTTCTGCGAAAAAGAATGCTAGTTCATCCATGATTTTAAGGTATCAGAAACCAATCAATCAGGTGGATAAAATGAACGGTTCGGTGTCTTTTTCGGACAAAGACCATAGGGCAGCTGCAGAAACCCTGAGCGTACCTACAACTATTTTGGCGGAAAATAGAGTCATTGACCAATAAACGTGCTCCATTCCTTGCCTTGGATCTTCAAAGGCAACGCTTACGCTTTAGGATTGATTTACATGAATTAGAGATGCATCATAGCAGCTGTCTGACTGGACGTTTACTGGCTCCAAAAAAATTTATGCACAGTTAGAATCACAGAGTTAAATTTGTTTAGAAATGTTTACTGCATTTAGACTTATTTCAAGTTATTCCTATTATTTTTGGTGATGGCTACAGCAGCTTCGTATGCTATGTCTAAAATGTAAACTTTACTAATATTTATAAATTTAGGACCAATTTTTTTTTTTTATTTTGATTAATGCCAATATGAGTAAAGCGAAAGCTTGACATCTTGGGTATAATCTAGCTGCTTTACCAACCAATCAGAAAATTCTTTCATAAGTGAAACTTGCGGTAAACGATACGCAGAAGTGAAGGTCGCTGTGCCGGTCCTTATGTACCCGCGATTGTTTTTACCCCTTGTTGTTAGGAGGGTGGGTGTTTTTCGCCTGAACTTGTCATCTCCTCAATTGCGTACGTTTAATACCTCGTTGCCAGCGTTTTCTTCTGGGCCGTCTTTCAAAAATATCCTTCAGAAAAATGATCTACCTGATGACGTCAAGAAAGGTATTGAATCGGAGGCGAGAGACATGTTAAAGGTTATTCTATTACATGCTATTATAGCTTCTAGGATTGGCTTCCTTACGGATGGAACGATTACGACAGAATTGATGACACTACCAAGTATAAAACGGTTACTTTTCTCTTAATGGTGTGTTTCACTTTTGGACTTGCTTTCCAGTTATGGTACCGCCCTCGTGGCCTGTAAGTCACTAAGCACCGTATATTTTCTATTAACTGTGAAATTCATTGCCTGTATTAGCTGTGCAGGTGGTGCATATACATTTGAACCTGAGTAAAGCCCTCCGATTTGCCTTAAACCAGTGTAATATTTAGCTTCACGTGTAGACAATAACAACCAATGTTTACTACTTTCAGCGAAGGTGACTGGGCTAGACGTGAGGCATTCCTTGAACTTGAAAGACGTCGTGCGTTGGGTCTCCCGTTGGTCGATCCAAATCTGATACCACCCGAGCGCGTTAAGCTTCCTCCGAAAGAAGACCTTGATCCAGACTTCAAAATCATTATATAGGTTCAGCTTTTTGTCCCCCAATAAAATCTAGTTTGTCTGCTTCCATTGATGCAACTTTTTTGCTGTTTCGACATGTATATGTTTTTGCCCCATCCTCAAGAGTTGAAATTTTAATTTCGTGATGAGAAGGCACGTCATTTCCTGGTTGGTAAATAATACAGAGGCGTAGCAGCGTCATTATTGAATGTCCGAAATAATTGCTTGTTGTACCAGGATCTGTACCCTAAAACGCCGTTGAGTAATGTGGTTTCACATTCAAAAAAAGTGCCAAAGCGTTTCTTCAATGCCCTAATAGGTTTTTAACTCAAATTACCTGATAATAATGGACCTTTGTTCTGCTCTGTCGAAACTGGTTGGTGGACATCGCTATCTTGTTTAGGTGCTAGGGTAACTCAAAAGTGCTTGCACAATCTAGACTTAGCCCTAGGTCTGCTTTTTATATCAAATGGCTTTAACTCGCGAAATGATTGCACCATGATAATCCATGATGCGCAGACTTTTGGGACAAAATTAGTGTTGTCATTACAAGTGTGTTATATAGCATCTACTAGGGTGTTGTCTTGTTGCAGCCCGAGTTTCAGCACTGCCTTACAACCCTTTAGTTAACAGTCCGAGAATGGGGTGAGGAGAGGCGACATAGGGCGCGACCGTCTACTAGCGTCACGTCAGCCAAGTGTGTCTTAGTGTGTGGATGAGTGAACGGATGACAGGCGTCTGATAACAGTAATCAATGAAAAGGAGATGAGTCATTGTCGCCGTCAGGTCAGTGAACAAGGTTCACTCAAGCACGATCGCTGTTAATCCTCTAGTCTCATTGAAGTTGCCGACGGCACTTATTCACGTATACAAATTTTGAGGAAAGTTATTTTAGTTAATAACTAATTTTTTGGTCATGGCCTTCTTTATTTTGGACAAAATTTGTATAACTGCTCATCACCTAATGTAAGAGGCCTGCAACCGAAAGTTACATCGGACTACTTTGCACAGGTAAAACGTCGAGGTTCATTTTCTCTGTTGGTTTTTCACAACAAATATCGAAATGTGCCGTACATTGCAGCTCGGTTGCCTTCATGATAGGGGGTACGAGGTCGTCCTACTTCTGAATAACTGAAATTATAAAGTGCTTTTAATGTGGGTTGAAATGAATTTCTCGTGAAATCTCACAAAACACACGAAGGTTCTGAAGATTCTTCGCTACATGGGTAGTACCGAGTCTGTGTGAGTGTAATGCACTTTAAGCAGCTTCACCGACATTGGGTATTGGACTCGGTGATTCTGTTTACATCAAATCCTAGAATAGGCTGAGGTCTATTTGGTTGCCTTCTAACTGCCACCATTGGATACTCATCAACTAATTTTTCTGTTAATGCATTAGTGCATTTTTAAAAAAAGCCTGTGGACCTCCACCCACTTTTCACACACCAAATATGTAAGATTTGGTGTTTAAACATATTCAGATCGAGTATTTATGGACCGTGCGTGGTTTTACTACATGAAAAAGACACTAATTTGCTTTGACTACAGTAAAATGCAAGTATAGATAATAGATAGATCTACGTAGCATTTCATCTACGTATTCTTCAGTGCCGTATAAGATTTACGTTGCACGTGAGTAAAATGTCACTTCAATGCTGAAAACTTTATACTTAGAATGAATTCGAGAAATGTTTTATCATCAAAGCTCTCTAACTCCTGATTGGTTGAAGAGGGATGTAAGGGTGGCTCAATCCACACTGCTTCTATGCGTGTGATTTAGCCAACCAGAGACAAGAAGGGATGGGGAGATTTTGCAAATGATGCTCTCAATAGACATTTTGCCGATACACTTGTGAATTTTCTTAGGCCCCAAGGTAGGTAAAACTTCCGACACCGATAATATATATGTGCCTATATACATTCTAGTTTCTCCTGCGTTCCCTAGTGTACTACTCCCCTAGTGGCTCATGATCTCAAGATTAGTCACTTAGAAACGCCAATTTTGCGTGGATAAGGGATATGCAACCAGAGTCTAATCAATGACTTTAATAGGGCGCGCAAAACAGTATGCACTTCTGTATGTTTGTGCTATTTTTCTGTAAAAGTGTGCAATCTACAACTTCTACGGTGTCTCTCTGCAAAGTCATCATTAATGCCACTACATGTAAAAGGAAATTTCAGGGCCTTGAGGGCAATATATCAAACAGGAAACAAAGATTTATTAACAATTTAATTACTTGATTTAAGAATTAAATCAGTCTATACTAAAGCGTAAAAAAACACTCACATAAAAATTAAAGTCTGTAGTTGGTTTACAGTATTTTGTGAGACATTTTTAACCTTGGCGCAAAATGAAATAAGGGACCTTAATCTCGTCCAAACTAAATTAATGTTTTCTTGCTGGTTTTCGGTTAAGGTTACTAGCGTGTTTCTGAAGCAGGGCAGCACTTTATACGGTTACCGCTACATCCTGGTAAGTAATCTTCAGGTAAATGAAAAGCTGCAACCTCGTCAAGGTGCATTTTGTGGTCTCTTTATTTGTCTCCTCTTCTCTTATCATGCAACGGTGGGTGACTAGATTGCTTGAAAATAATATTTACTGTTCCCCTTCTAAAGCCTATTTGCTTTATTTGTCATGGCTGTTTGCTTTATCACTTCAACCTATTCTGCCTGTACACACAAGAATGGGGTGATCACCAGCCCATTACTCCCCCGGCTTCCCCTTTGGCTCTGTGGCTCGCCTCGGTGCAGGCCGGGCCGAAGTATCTGTTTGGAAAGGCGGGGTGTGGCGGAAGGCGGCGGGGTTGTCGCCAAAGCAAACACGGGGGTACGCCATTAGGTACGCCACTGAGATGCGTATTACTCTGCCTGTTCCCAAGCTACTTTGTTGGAATCTGTTGATTTTGTATTAGTATACAGACGTCTTCCCACTTTTTTCAGTTCAGTGTGATACGTAATTTCCCCTCAAATTTTGGAAGCTTCATATAATTCAGAGTGTGCAGTTTATTCACAGAGGAACATTGATAAATTATTCAATACCAGTCAACCGTCGCAGGTGGATACCAGCGTCGATTTGAATGCTTTGATTCAGGTCTGAACAAGTCCCACATTGGATTTCGAGAATGGATATTATGGAATTGAATAAGTTCAAGTCATCAATCTCAAATTTTTGGAGGCTTCCTATCACATTTACGATGCCCAAATCCAGGAATAAATTACCGAGTTAAAAGAAATTTCAAAGCACCAAAGTAATTTGATGACAGCAAATAATTACAAGAGTCTGTTTGAGTAAACTTTATTACATTAGTTATTCGAATAAAACAATAAGGCCTTTGAATTAGAAAACAGCCCAATTTTATTCAAGTAAAATTGTATAGGCCTTCAGTGTGCTTAAATTTTTCATTAATCTGTGTCACGCTCCTCTTAAATGGATTAAAGATACCTCTTAAAGGTTGTGTGTTCCTAAATAAGCTAAGAAACGAATCCACATAATTTAGGATAGGAATCCGTCACTACTCATGACTTATTAACGTTTTTTTTATTATCATGGCCCTCTTTGCTCTTTTTTAAGCCTGTTGTTACTGCTCTGCTAATAAAATAGACTTGTAACTACATTCCTGATTGCCTAGACGTTAGAATGCGAGTTCGTACCCATTCGCAGCACCTGCCAAACCCAGTAGTACCTGAACAATTGACATTTACCCAAATTCCAAGTGGTGAAAAAACTGCCTGCCTTGAGCCAAGCATTTGCGGCTTACTTTTAACAAAACAGTGGCCGGAGGACTATTATCACTGTGAGTTCAGACACCAAGAGTACCCAGACAACTGGCTGGGCCCTCGATTCTCCGATAGTCAGTATGAAAATTCACACACATGGAGCAGTTATGAAGAGAACTGGGTCCAGCAAAAAGAAGATATTTGCTACATTCAACAAGGAGGTGATATTGAAGCGGAAGAGGATGATGATGAGTGGAGTCTTGGGGAACATGGATCAAACGTGGCGGGTCACCTAAACGCCCCTACAACCAGTCGATCGATGCAGAGCCGACATTCAAACCAGAGACAGGCGGCGAACATGAGGGAACGGAGGCGAATGCACTCGATTAATCATGCTTTTGAAGGTACGAAGGGTGTCATTGTGTTTTAATCCAAGCATTTAATGCGTCTTCAGGCGAGGTTTTCTACTACAATGCCATTAAATAAACACTGACACTAACTGATTACTTGATAAGATATACAACGCGATTTCAAAAACTTGACTTGAGTGATAATCAAAATAAAAGGTTTCAGGAAATACCATTCAGAGTAGTTTGGTGATTTCTAAATCGATGTAAAACCACAGCCATCATCGCTTTGGTCAATTCCATCAAGTTGTAGGGGAAAATTATGTTTTCTATTTTTCGCAAAAAATGAAACCTGAAACTTTGTGGTTGTCGCCATCAGAATTTTTATAAATCGCTGTTATCAACAATACCTAGTTGAGCACATACCGAAAATTCTTCACAAGCGTATTTCCAGTAGATTTTATTTACTTTAGATTTTTACTAGAACAACTAGTGAATTACCGGCATTCAGCCTGTGTTATATCTAATCTGGTACTGATACTATTCGGGAGTCTTGACAATTTGATACATGAGACCCACTTAAAAGTCGATGTGACAATGTTCGATACACGGCAATTTACTCATCTCAATGGGCACGATATGTATGCTCCCTCGCACAAATGTTGCGACTTGACTTACCCCCTGCCCCCCAGCTTTCCCGCGTTCCCACGAGTTAATGCTGATGCCTAACACACCCCCAAGCCTCTCGTGAAATTATAAGACGTTTCAGAGCACTGTACGCATTATTTTAAAGATGCTAGTGCGAAGAAGAGGTCGTACGCTACACTTCTGAAGACTGTAGACGCATCATGGTGATTTGTCAACCCCTTTTTGAACTTCTTTATTTCAAGCACTTATTTTTACAAGTGGTCAGAAGCATATATTTCGGTTTAAAACCAATAAATAAATATATGCTTAAATTTATTCACTGTGGTCTGATAAAACTCAATTGATAAACTAAAAATTTCTGGTTTATATTCATCTGAAATCCCTAGAAACTGATGACATCTATTTCCGTGATACCCAAAACGAAAACAGATAAGGTTGTGGGCATGGGATTGGATTGCTGGATTAACTCAGTCTTTTTTTATAACTACATGAATTACTCTCTCCCATACCTTGTTGGCCGTTTGCCATTGAAAAAAGTATATTTTCCCGAGAGCAGTTATTACCTAAACAACTTCAGGTTTCGTGGAATATCAAGTTGGACTTTGAACCGGTCTATGTCACAAGTCTCACATGAAAAATATAAAGGCGATCCCCGAGAGTTATTTGTAAAAAAAAATCACTTTCACCAGTTAAAATGGTTTCCATATCCCCGAATTACCAGTGTTGTGTAACAATATGTAGAAGGTGGCTTTAGACGCAAAAGATGCAGAGGATTACTGTGGTGATGGAACCCAAATGAGAAACTAATACAATACAAGTGACCTAACTTCAGTCCGCAGAGCACATTGTTATCTTGTAAACCACACGCAAAACGTGAGTGTCGAAGGTGACATGAAAAAAAGTGCTGCCTGGTGGTTTCGCATCTTGTTGTTGGCATGAAAAGAGGGCTCGGCAGCAAACCACGTTGCAGATGGAACCTAACCCGTTCAACAGAAGTAAAACTCATAATGTTCGCCATGGGACCATGATTACTACCTATCTCTAAGATTTTAAGTGGGAAAAGGTAATCATACATGCAAACATTGAAATATATTTTACTGAGTTGTTAAGTACCAAAAAATAACTTAAATAATGGTTGTGGACGTTGCTTAAGGCGAATGAGGCTGCTAACAGGTAAGACAACTGTGCACAGCAATGCTTATACGTTATAATTAGAGTTTCAGTCGCAGTATTGTCATTATTTAAAATACCTAATGTAATAAACTGAAAGAGACTGAGGAAAAAACAGCCACTTTCTGAATAGATTAAATTTGTCCACGCGACGCTTACACCACAGAGACAAGTGGATCAGTTTAACTGGAGAGTTTCATTGCAATTTACGGGTCCTTGATGAGAAAATTCCGTCGTACTAATTGTACACTCGGCTGAGGTCGGTCTCACTTGGGCTATCAGTAACGAGCATGTCCAAGACATCAAGTGAATTAATAGTCTTAAACCAGCGACTGAAAGCCAGGGGAATAGAGTTTTGTTCGTCGGAATTTGTACTCCTTGAAGATCGCAATCCCGTTTTAATTCGTTGTCATGTATTTGGGTTTATGGAAGACAAGTTACCCATGTGAATTCATTACACCCAAATTCTGTAGGAAACCTTATTTTTTGCTTAGTCTAAAAAACTGTGACCATCACAGTAGAAGTGATTGCTGATTTAATGCTCCAATTTCAACTATCAGGACTGCGGGCCCGCATCCCCACTCTGCCCTATGAGAAACGTCTATCAAAGGTTGACACACTACGTCTTGCAATCGGCTACATCAATTTTCTGCAAGACCTTGTCACCAACGCAAGTTATCATGAGCAACCTAATGGGAACCAACAAGATGACTGCGCCGGAAGTGAGGGAGATCCAACCGGCGAGCCGTCACGACAGGCGCGGACGAGAAATTTTATGGCCTCTGTTCAACGGTTCGCGGTGGCCGCTGCAAATGCAGGCTCCTCCGAAGGAAGAGGTGGAGAGCGTCTGGGCTGCTGCCTACCCACCACCGTCTCCACCTCGGTCCAGCAGCCTAAGAGGAAAGTTATACTCAATTTGTCAGTTCACAGTAAGTTTAACCAATCATCTTGGAGAGTGAGGTTAAGAAAAGATCAGGCTAGAACTTCACTTCCTTGAACTTTTGGGGAGTTATCACCTGCCTTAAATGCAAATGAAATTTTCGAGAACTGTTGCACTGGCTTATGACCTGGCTACCGCTAAAGTAGTTATTTATTAAAATGAAGGGTTGACATGAGCTAATAAAGGCAAAGTAGAGCCTAATTTCCTTCAATATCTTCTATTTCCAGGTCCAAGTAAACATAAATCGATGTAGTAATACATTTATTTTTAAGAAAGTCGGGCTAAGTATAAATATTTCGTTCATCTAAAGTAGAATAATTAAAAGGAAAAAAATATATTGATCATTTGACTAAGCATAATGAATATTTCGTAGGACGCGGAAGTCTATTAAGACCTACACTCTATGTTTTAGTGGCTTGCCGACTATCATCAAAGGAGGCTCCCGATAGAGAACCCATTGCCGATTTGATTAAACTCCCAGGTCAGATATGGCGCAGGGTGAAACACTATTCGCCTGCGGGCAGTAATGAAGATGAACCAACTATCATTGGCCACAGCATCAGTTGGCATCGGAAACTTAGTTCGTTTGAAGTTCCTTTTACAACTCATAACAGAAGAACTCTTACAACAAAACTCTGGAGGCCTCAGTCACAGGTCCCCACCGCTCGGAGTCATTAAATTATTATGCTTCCCTAAATAAATTTACAATTCCATAATTATTATTGAATGATATCTTACTCTCTTGATTTGAATCAAATTTCGAGATATGAGGATGCAGGTTTATTACGATATTATATGGCAAAGCTCAGGTCTCTTAAATTAATTGTCCAATTGGAAATGCTAATGAAAAGTGCGCAGATCTGTTGACTTGGGCCTAAAATTTACAAGGGAATGAGACACCGCAACTCAAGGCGTAAAAAAAATGGAATTTCCCCGTGAACAGTAGAAGTCAGTAGGATGATTCGCGGATCCATAGTATGTTGTTTAATAAACAGATTTAGGAGAAAAACAAGATCAGAGGGTAGTCTGCAAATTCGTCGCTGAATGATGTCAGTCAGGCTCGTCATCAGCCATATTTGCTATGACCAAATACTAATATACATTATGATACATCAAAGGACGACTCATTAGAATCAGCGGAATTGAGTGTCCTAAAGCACTCGAAATTTTATCATAAAGACTATCTTGCCATTTGATCCACCCAAGCCGGGTGGTTCAATCTGGAAATCGAACCATGTACACCAAGGGTAGCGTATTCCGTTTTCAGAGTATTTGACATCATCGAAATCAACAAAACTTCAAGTAGTCACTTTGACAAATGGGTGAAAATTTATTTAGGAAATCGAGTGTTGTTATATACTTTCTCCTTCGAGCTATTCTTACTCACCATCCCTGGTAGATGAAATTTTTAGACTTAAAGCAAGCCTAAAGAACGCATATAATCAGCGACGAGTACACAACGGAAGTGTAAATTATGTCCTTTGCGATGAATGCCTGGGCAGCAAAGCTGACAACCGCTTTAGACAGGAACCCCATTAGGACTGAGGTAAGTCGTTATACGGAAATGCAGAATAGAAGTCCCTGAAAACCATATGCGCCAGCGAAATAAATCGGGTTGAACAGGGCCTCGAACGAAAAACGACTCAGGTAATGACCCGCTAATCCTGGCTTAATCTATCAATATTACGCATGATCGCATTAAGTTAATGAACAGGAACGAAACAAGCACGAACAGGCCATCAAGTTACCCAGCACCTGGAGAATCAGGTACCACCCATTGGCAGAAATCCTTCGCGCCTAGTTGACGGTAACCACTTTACCTCACAAAGACTAGGTTCACATAACCGTCTTCTGGAGCATCAGCACTGAAATCTATGCATACACGTAGCAATAACACCCCGTAAACAGCCGAAACCGAAAACGTCACAAACTCCAAGACAGGATGTTAAACGACAACAATGCTAGGCTACCACCGTCACTAACACAATAGGAACCGACCGAACCCGGACACTGAACCTTTTAACTTGCTATGAAAAGGAGGCGCTTGAGTGCCAAGGAACTAGATCACTGCATTTATTGGCTGAGAAAACACGCACCAACAAAGAACAGACACAACTTCGACAGTTCACTAAGCATCGCGTATGTTATGAGTAGGCACGCGGGCGGCGAGAGCTAGACAGGACATCGGTGCCCTCTCCGCTGACTAATGGAAAAATGGGAAGAACTGTTGTGTATACATGAATAGTAGTCAGTAGGCAGCAAAATAAACGATGAGACTGGCAACGTAGACTAGGTCACCGAAGGGTCCGCCAAAATATTAGGTTGTCTCCGTCAAACGTCCCCATGACAACAAATTCGATCTAAAAATTCAGAAACTTTCTTAGAGCCGGATAACTCAGAAGGTAACATTTCCTCATACTACAGAGTGAGCTGAGTAATCATCACACACGGCTACTCACCTAGACTAGCAGTATCACATAACCACCGAGAATGCATCACAATATGCATTGCAAACGAAGAGGAACCAGCAGAACCACAAAAAGTCACAATTCTAAGTCCATAGTATCACTCCACCGCATTGCCAATCGACATAGTGGCAGAAAAAACGGTGGTTGACACGGACGGCACGGGATCTTCGACAAAGAACATGACATCATGATCAAACTAAAATGTAGGAAAAAAACCCATAGTCAAAATATTAAGTATGTATCAGAATAAAAAAAATCGTCACGAGTAAGTGAGCTGGGAGAGTCATCACAGACACGCACAACGAAAACGATAAAAGAAACTGCACGCCAGCCTCAGGTCCACACCACGTTTAAACAACGCAACTGAATTTGAGCATAATGAACTCAGAATATGGTATTGTGCTACTACGTAATTTCCTTCTAAGTTAACTATTTTGGCAATTTTTTAAGGTATTTATAATGGTGAATAGTGTAAAAAATTGTTTTAGTCAACCCAACGCCTGCTCTGACACACTAAGGATTATTTCACATAACGCAACAAAGAGTCTTAAACTTTAATTTTTAATGGGTTTTCATATAAAAAGTGAGCAATAAATTACCAAAATTGCCCTATATTTTCTCAAGTAAGTTATTTGACCCATTTACCACAAAATATGCATTCCAGATATCCCGCCTTATTATGATGCTTGGTAATAACTAAAACCTTATCTTCATCTACTAAATTGGGTTATCTAGAAAAACAGCTGACATGACCAACACCTACAGAAACGATAAAAGTAAACTGATGCAACTACTTGATAATAATGTTTTTATTTGCCTTATTCAAACATTCTGATAACGATTTTGATGACTTTTTGCAGCAACATGCTTGTCATATTCGCGCTTGAGTTTTGAAAAAATATTTAGTGTATTCAACGTGTAATTGCACCTATTTAAATAATTATAAAACTTCATCAATAATTAAATTACTGAATTATCACTGCTTTAAAAATAAATAATTTTAGCTACCGAATTTTGCTTAATTTTGAACACTCCTATCTATACTATTCACGAGATTACATGGTTTTATCTAACCTACGAAAACCTTTAACAGTCGATGTCACTTAAAGATGATTTGCGAAAGAGTCGCGGTCTCGTTTTCTACATTTTTTAGGATCCGAATCTCATCGTGACACATGCAACAACTTCGTCATTATCAACACGGCAAAAGAGTGCGAGTTTGTAATAAATTAATATGCAAGTATATTTTTGCCTTTGATGTCTCTATGCATAAGTAAACGCACGTGCATATCAAATGAAGCATCAGTTCTCTTTCTACTATTACTTCCTGGGCGAAACAAAGTAACCTTGTTTTATTTACTTGCATACCCAGATTCCCCGCTTTATTTTTTTGTACCTATTTTTAGTTTGATTTTGCTAATAAGGAATTAATAAAGCAAAAGCAAAATTAAAGTTACCAAATTCGGTTTGTGGAATATTTCTTTGCGATTTTAAATGAATCGGATATTTAAATCCCATTGTAACGACTGCGTAGGCAAAGATATTCGTCCTTTTTCGTAGACAACAAAATTTAACATCAATGTAACAAATCTGAATTTTGTCTGATTGTTGGCCTGAAGCGAAAATTGAAATGAACGCAGATGTATTTAAAGCTCCTTTATCCGCGGGCTTTATCTGTCTTCTATTTCCTCGATGTCTTTTGTCTCAGTGCCGTGCAAAAAAGGTTTGGAAGTGAACCTTGTGAAGCCAATCGAACACTACATAAAGGGGAATCTTGGTTCGGGCCAAGCTGTCGCATGTAAAAAAGATTTGGACCATCTGCAAAAGTTACGAAACGAAATTCTTGTAAAACTTGATGACGCTCACGAAAGTACAGTGAAGTTGATTGAGGCGTAAGTTTAATCGATGAATATTTATTTACACTAATTATGGTCTGGACTGCTTTAAGTCCTTGCAGGGATGCGTGCTACAGTTCGTTGTTTGGCACAAACATCTTTAGCTTTAAACGTCTAATAGCATTTCAGCTGCGTTATTTGGCGTCAACATGGTCATGTCGTTCCTATTTTTTTGAAGTTCATGTTTCCCATGTCTGCGCCATATGTCTTGGGTGGTGGTGACCACACATTGCTTTTTTTCTTGGTTCACTGATGGAATCCAGCGTGTGCTAACTTCACTTTCCTTTAAGGTTACATTTCCCAACAACTTAAAACCTCAATTTATTAAGTCATATTTTGAGATACAGAACAATCGTCATCAGTTCATACACGAGATAGTCATTGTTAAGGTTTTGTTTCCGTGTTGACTTTTAGGATCTTGTTCTTAGGAGTATATTTTTACGCTATCTGCTGGTATGGAGTGTTTCAACCCCCAGTTTAATACCCTATCTCAATTAGCTATTATCGAGTGAATGCCTTACCTTTTAGCTACTGTGATCTACTCGAAAATCTTGAGCAACGAGTTCCCCTTACTAATCAGGATATACCAATTCCTTATAAGTGGTATGACTGTTTTAGTGGATCTTCGAAGGTGTTCAGGAGCTCAATGAGTAAATTTGCTCTCATTGCCACTAATATTATTCTTAGAGGGATTTAGTGCAGGGTTTGATCGGTGCTGTATGCTCTTTAACTGCGCTGCAGGTCACAGCCAGATTGCCAAGCATCAAAACGTGAATGATGATTCTGGTCTTAAGGTAGCCGCGAAGTCGTTTCAGGTATGTTCTAAGTGACTTTTTGTCTTTCCCACGCAGTTATTACGACTGTCTTGATTTTTTCAAGATATCCGCGGGTATGTTTGACTACGTAAAAGTTCTACTACCTACATTCTACACCCAGTCACCTACGTGGGATATGTCTTCAGAAGCGCTAACGGGGTACTCAGCAGTTATGCTTGCTCAGGCCCAGGAGTGCATTTTTATAAAGGCCGAACGCGGTAAGAATTATATTTTTCGCGTGGTTCCTTCTTTGCAAACGGATAGTTACCCATGTGCAATGTGGAATTTCCTGGCACGTTTAATAGATCCCGTAATTCATTAATGTTTTACCAGTTTCTTATTCATTTAGACGGGATGAAGCCGCCCGTTGTGGCCAAACTGGCCAATCAGGCGGCTTTGCTTTATAACGAAGCGGTGACAGCTGTCTCATTGAATTCGTTACGTCCTTATTTACCCAAAGATTGGCCAAATTTTCTATCGACAAAGGCTGCAATGATGGAAACGTACGCTGAGTTCCATGCTGCTGTTGCCGCCGAGACGGAGCAGTTATATGGTGAACAAATTTCGCGTCTTAATGTAAGTTGCGATTAAGTTGACCCTCGGTTGTAGTACTTATTCTTGTCATTCCATTGCTCCAGTTCACATTTTTATCTGTACCTAGGGTTGAAATGAGAAATACTATACAGTTTATTCATACTGTGCATTACTGATTTCGCCCATAGACTGTAATCGGTTTCTCCGAGTATCCTGAAATGTAGTGTTATTTCGCATCTCGTAACGTGTTTGCTGGTTTTTATCTCATATTTCTTCGTCCCTCATTTGAAAACATGGTGTTTTTTGCAAGTTTTATTTTGTCTTAACACTTTGCTTAGCTCTAATTTTATTTTAAGTGTTTTTACTGAAAGCCGTTTGTTTAAGCCTCGTGTTAATCAAATGATTTCTTTCAGAAAGCGTTGGGGCTCCTTAAAAAGGTGCCCCGCTGTGAGGCAGTAAAGGAACTTCAGTCCAAATTGGAGAAGGCGCGTGATCGCGCCAAAAAGGATAATGATCTTATATATCACGAGGTCATACCGGACCCCAAAACTTTACCCTCAATTGGAGTCGCTGCAGTTGCCAAGAAGCTTCCTGTTGCATTTCCCTTGGCTGGCGACTCACAAAAGCATCGCTTCAAGGCTCTTGTACCGATTGCGGTTCACAACGCTCTCCAGGTGGCTGAAGGTGTGCGACAGCAGATTATCGCTACCGAGTTGGGACGTCTGAGGGAAGCCACGGACATCTGTAATGGAGTAATGTCTTCTCTGAACCTCCCCGCCGCTGTACAGGACAAAGAAGATTCGGACGATGTTGTTCCAACTTCGCTGCGTGAGAAATCTGCCTCTATTAGGCAGCAAGGTGGAGTCCAGATGTTACGGGAGAAAATTTCTTCTCTGTCTGACGGCAATACGAGAAACGTTGAAATAGTAGATAATGTATGCTCTGTTTATTGGATTTCTTTTTACGAAGCATTCTTGTTAATTTCATCATCTTGTTATTGCCAGTTTTGTTCTCAATTGCTTTCTTCCAACCATGTATTTTAGAGTCCTAACAGTAACTGCATAGGTAAAGATAGAAGTTTTATTTCTTCTTGCCTACGTATTATCATTTTACCAAAACGTGTAAAATGGTTTTTTTTCATGTCTTAACTAAGCGGCACATTTGACTATACCTTAATGGATCGTCGAATGCGAAAAATGAAACCGATTCTAGCTAAAAAATCCTTCATTAAAATTAACGACCAAGGGAGCCTATATTTAACTTCATTCAGTAATTTTTCGGATCGTGAGTAGTCTGTGCCGTGTTGAGCCGCCTCCCTTTTTTTCCAGGAAGTCGGGATCAATGTAGGTGTTTAAATTGAAACATTGAAGTAACTATTAGGAAGTCGAACGCATTCCAGCAGAATCTAAAGATGAGCATGTATGACTTAGGGCTCATTTAGATTTAATGATTTGGCGTAACGTAGTTACGAACTGGTGCTTCTACTAATTATCCCTCTTAATTTCGTTTAAGTAGCACGCACACGGAATCATTCCTCATATATTTGCATGGTAATAGTTTTGCTTAACTAGATCGCCTCGACAATTGATGAAGAAGAGAAAACAGACAACGACCTTCGTGCGCGATATGCTGAAAAGTGGGATCGTCAATCGTCGTCAAAGTTAAACGCCGGCTGGCGCGCTGAGATTAGCAAACATCGTCAGCTGCTGCAACAGGCCAGTCAAACCGACAGCGGGCTAAAAACTCGCTTTAATTCCCAAGAGTCCTCTTTCGAGCGTCTAAGCGCCTCCGAATCGGACTTACGGGAATATATTAGTTCTGCTATGGAGGGACAAAATGCACCAACAGCCACTAGCGGAGGAAATCCCAAAAATCGAAGCGCTCTGCTTACACTGTGCACCAAAGTTGATTCGATGAAGAAGGAGAGAGCGGACCTTCAAAAACAACTGGAACAAGCTAAGCTCCCAGAAAGTCTTAGTAAGTACGCTTTCATGTTTGACTGCTATGGCTCAACTAGCATGAAAGTCAATCAAGAGCTCCACTATCGTTCGTTTTGTTGACTATTTCAAATTCCGTTTGATGATTCTTTCTAATTTTTGCTACTGAACCTGCTCGCTTTTTGCTTGTAATGTTTGTCTAGTTTCAGACATTCCTGCTTCGTAAAATTAATAACTTCGCAGCTCTTTCCAAACTATTACGTCCGACAAATTTCAAAAGATTTGTTCAAATTAAGTATTTACGTTGATATTTTTTAATAAGGTATAATATATTTTAATCTGGTAGCTAAAATCTCACCTTGACTCACCTTCCAAAATCCGCTTACTTTAACCTTTCTTCAGTGATGTTGATTTCTCAATCTCCCTCTACAAATGTTCAGTTATTAAAGGCGCGTGTGTCACGTGTGACTTGTCTTGTAACGTTCACTCTCTTCAACTTTCCATCAGTATATCACAAATTCCTAGAATTCTAAACCTTTTTTTGCTATTTCTTATCAGCACCAAATATAGTCCACTTGATTTAGAGGGGTTCTGCGCAGAGTTTAAACCCGGTAGTAATGAGTTGCACTTTTGGTGGCTCACGGGACCTCAAAATTTTGACCTCTGCCATCTTAGCGAATGAATTTTTGAAGATCTACCAGAATGGTGGTCAGATTGAGGCACAGTCACTTGCATCTGAACACATCAATGCTGAAATGGATGCCACTCGTGACTGTGTTCGAGAAAGTCTCAATAAGCAGGAATTACTTCTCAAGGATATTCAGGAAACCTACGAGTCCATATTCGGCAAGAAGAAATCCGATGCGAGTGTACTGACCACTTTGTTAATGGCCGCTGAAGCTTTCGATCAGCTTGTTCATGATGTCGATCAGGGCATTACATTCTATGCCGATCTAACTGGTATCCTCGTCAAGTTCCAGAATAAGGTGAGCTAGTTTTCGATTAATAATTCGGGTAATGACATATTGCTAATCGGATTTTTCGTATCCCTTTTGATGCAAAGTTGTATAGGATCTATGTCTTTTCGTATAACCGCCAGTACAAATCAAATGGATGATCATTACTCTATATACATGTGTACCTAAAATTGGTGGGAAGACATCCCAACGAGCACTCAATTCTTTAGGCCCATTTTTTTGTTTCAATCGTCGCATTTAAATATTTTACCGGCTTTACTCTTTCTCCTAGTGCTTGCAAATAAGTTTTAGGCGGTGACACCGGCCAACGCTGTCGATGAGCGCTGGCCAGAATTTTGACTGGTTTCACAAGTCTTGTAGTTTATGGTGTTAATATAAGTACGAATACAGAACTTGTTCTTTAGTACAGAAAATTTCAAGGCTCCTAGATGTTAGGTATAGTTTTGCCGGAATAATTTATTAAAAAAACGCATTCACATTTCATAGGTGAATGATTTCGCGTTTGCAAGACAGACCGAAAAGAATGAATTAATGAAGGATATAAGTAAAGAACTGAGCAGCGTCAAGTCTGGTGAAGCGCCTGGTAAGCTTTAAATTCTTGGTGAATTTTACTATAAATGCCAACTGATAGGTTTTTGGACTTCTTATTTTTTGGTGAGTTGCACTATAAATATTAGGCGGTCATAAGTTAGTATAACTGTCAATGAGGATTTCAGGTCTCTACATTAAGCACCTTTGAAATGCATTTTAGTCTCTTTTACATTGCATTGCGTGCATAAGTTAATTTTAAGTACAGTTTTGTTATCCGCTCCGGAGCTTCTTGACGCAAATATTTTGTGCCGTTACATGGTAGTGTTTTTTGTTGTTATGTATTAACTCGTCCTCTTAATTATTCTGCGAATTTTCGTGTTTCATTGCTTTCTTAACTGGTATTGTAATTGTGCACACAAACTTGTCACTCTCTTCTAGAACGCCCTCCTCCAACGTACCTAAGTTCCCAGCAGCTACCTAGGACAACAGCGTCGGCTTCGGATTCTGCATCTTCCGCTCCATCTACGGCTCCTTCGGCGCCAATGGCTCCACCTAGTAATCCTAACCCCCCACCCATGTACTATGGTCCTCCACCCCCAGGGTACTGGCCGGGATACGGATTTCCATGTTAGTTCGTCTCGCCAAATCTAATTTTTTCCTAGGAACCCCAAGGCTTGCTTTTTATAATTTAGTTTAAACTCTCCGGAATCGCCTCTGGCCAGAACGCTTTTGGCTTTGTATATCCGTCTACAAAAGCAAATTCCTGGTTAACTTATTTTCCATTCAGATATATTCCAGCTAACTGCCCAGAATCCATAAGCATTCTGCTTCTATATTTCGAATGTTCATTTTTTTACTGTATCAATTTACTTTTTGCTGCATATAAGCAAAAAAGTTTGCAACCAATCTGCATTGCCTTAGCGATTTTAGAAATACGTATTTTGGGTTTAGTTTTTTGCATAAACGTTGATAATTGTAGTTTTTGTGAGTGTTTAAATCCCCATCATGAAATTTAATGGGCTATCACTTTCCTTACCAAACGCTTTTAACAATTTGTGGAGATTACCAAAATCCTCAAGCAGCACCGATAGGCATTTTTAATGCCTTATTCTGAAACCAGTAAAAAGCGAGTTTTATTGCAATCTTCTATCTCGTTTCATTCTAGTCTATTTGAATGATTGTCGGAATGATTGTTTGCTCTACTATTCGTTTTGTTTTCAGCTCAAGGAATGCCCCAAATGCCCATGTATGGCGCGTACGGTGGCTATCCAATGCCCATGTATCCCATGCCAGGGTTGCCCTCACAGCCTCAACAACCACATCAGTAAACCTCTACGTTGGATTCCACAACTATTTCGGTTATTTCTACTATTGGTTTGTGTTCTTACATTCGGGTACTGCTAATGAATCTATCTTTTACTCTTATAAACACTTTTGACCTTCAAAAACACCATATTCCCAATGCCGCCTTTTTTTCTACCCGGTGTTCACGAATGCCAGCATCAGGATTTTGATACCTACAAGACGGGCTCCGAACTTTTAATTTTGGGTGCAGCCGTTAGCCTGTGTCTCTCAAAATGTGAATTTACGGTTTTAATTTTTGTTCAATCAAATTGAGACTAGTGGGTAAAGTTCGTAGAACTTTTTTAACCTCGACAGAGTTGATGATTTTTCAATAGACAGAAACTCGTTCACAGCCTTTTCATCATATTTGCTAATTGTCGTCACTGCCTTTCCAACGTCGATGAAATGTCTGATGTTTCTGGCTAGCCACTTAATCAAAACAGCAGTGACCTAGCGGGATCGAGTGAAAGTCATGTCGATTTTTTGAATGCGCTCATTAAAAAATGTCACACAACTAAACATAGCAAATGAGCTTGTTGGCTAATATTCTTGAGTAACAGTGAAATCTCAGTCCTAGAGGGAACCATGTGTTCGTCGTAGATGTGTGTTCCGGTTTTAGATGGGCAAGGGCAGGATTCCAACTATGAGGTGGGGTCACTGTCTCTGTTAGTAAATAATAAGCGACTGTAATTGGCAAAAACGTAATGATGTTATCTGTTGGGCAATTTTGGCCCTGCAGAACCTGCAATTTCGGTCTTCAATAATAAGCGAAATGCAATAATGGCTCGGATTTTCTGCCCAAGTGAGTTACCTGAGTCGGATCTGTTCTTCAAGTGATGATATCAGCAGGCAAATTGACACTTTCTGCTAAAGTAGGTAATATGTACTGTGTACGTTCTTTTCCAGAAGCTTCGAAATGTGGTTTAACATAAAAGAATTACTTGAACTGAATATTTCCTGAAAGCATTCAAAACCCGTTATCATTTTTTTCGTAGTATGGCTCCATCTCATCTAGAAAGCGTAGTTGGAAGTGACACTCAACGTGGTGCTATCATTTCACCAATTTTGACTCTGTGACTACGTAGTAATTAAATTTTAACACCCCCACACTTGAGGGACTTGAAATGGTTGCTCTAAAAACAGATCAAATTAACAGGTCTTTAACGTGATAGTTTTCCACTGTATTGTTTTACAGTGTCAGTTAAAAGTACAACTGCCCATCTGTTGATTATGTAATAAACTAGCTAATTTAAATTTTGGCCGTTAGTGACTCAAAGAATACGACACTTGGATGTCGATTCTGTTACTTTTGTCTTTCCATTTCTGTCATCAACACCATATCCAGATGTTAGGCAATGCGGCTGTAAAGATGCCGAGGTAATTGCACGACCCCTGTGACAATGCGCAATACTTTTAAGTTCCGACAACAGATTGAGTCCAAATAAGTAACTCGCTAGATTCTCTATGGATGTTGATTGGTTACTACATCTTTCCGAAGAGTCAGCTAGTGGCTCGTTTGGGTTTATCGACATTTATCTATCATTTCTGCCATACATAAATTAGCTTCTAGATTCTTCCACGTTTCCTCAGAGCGAAGCGTAACCGAAGGCACACTAAGAAGTAGGCTAGGCAGACTTTTGGAAGGAACCACAAACAATCACCGTTACACAAATTTCGTTTCATTACAAAAAAAATTATGCTGAAAAAAAACTTTTTACATAGGAAATTAAACATCGAAAAGGTATTTTGTTAATTCGTCACCCAGTTTAAAAGGGGTTGGCAAAACGAAGTCAAAGTTTGAAAGGTATATGTGTATACGCATTGAGCCTTCTCCCGAAGGTTTTATCGAAGGTGTTGTTTAAAATTGAGAAGGAACGGCAAATGGAGGCGGTAACTGTGACTAGTCGCTACAAAAAACAAGACAAGGGGATGAAGGCGCTTCAGCGGAGCAGACTCCAGCGTGGAAACCAGCAACTCACCGCTGGCTTTAACACTCAGATCGGTCCACCTAAGGAGGATTCCCTCAAGTTCACAAGCACTTAGGGCATATCCATTTACACCCCGCAGAAGACAAAGCTGCACGGGATTGTAAAAAAACCCTTAAGCAGCGTTAATTCATTGCTCGACTCCAGATATTACCTGACCCAATGAAATGCTTGTGGTCCTTTGTCCATCATAAACACTTGGAAGTCGCCCAGAGCTAATTTTATTGTTTGGATCGAAATCACCACTTTAAGATTGGCAGCAGCTCTTGTTTATCGATCCAAATATATTTATTGGGTTTTTCTAGCAGATCCAACGCTCATTCCTTTTTTGAATTCGTGACGAACAGGTAACATCAATCTTTATTTCAAGCATTAACTCTGTACGTGAATGAATTTTAAAAAAACTGTTTGAGGTTTTCTTGATTTACGGTGCATTTAACCGCTATTTAGTATGTTAATCATAAATAAGCCCCACCACAGTTAAAAGTGTGTTCATCTGCTTTAAAAATGAATACGAACTGCTTCAGTCATTCAAAATTTGATCGCCTTGTCCAAGTAGTGCCTCTTGCGGCAAGAAGTGATTTATTAATACAATCTAACGCTAATGACCACAAGCACATATTCTCTTCATGAGAATAGTCCAGATAGATTTATCGTAATGATGCTCACTCAACAGCCACCTCCGGCATTATACCTAAAGAAATCATGAAGGTTAAGCTTCAGTTTTTGGCTATGCTTGCTGTGTGCCGGATTTACGCCTCTACAAATCTTATCTATAATTTGTCAAGTCCCGAGTTGGTGCTGCTAAGGTTCTTTCGCCATTCTGCATATTTAAATCTCTGCTCACGCCCATAATGGTGAAACGCTGGAAAGCTTTTTTATTTTAAGCATTTCTTCACGCTGATGTACCACCCACACATTTTCATAACCCACTTCCTTGAATTAAGATAATGTAGCACGCCAGTGGCTCGTGGGCTTTTGAGACATCGATTGCGTTTAGTGACTACAAAGTGCCTAATAATCTGCTGACTTTAAAAGTTCTTTTAACCTTGAATTGCTAAACTTATATTTTATGAGAACTTTGGGGCATGTGATGCAACGAAAATATTCAACGGTAAATTTAAGTGAAGTAGGATCAAGTCATAAAACAATGCCAGT